CTTGCTGATTGAACCTGCATGGTCTCCAGGAGTTCTTTGGGCTAGCCCTGACTTCAATCTTCTCAAAGAGAAGCCATTATAACAGTTTATAGCACTCTTTGTAACTCAATGCAGCCAAAGTCCACATCGAAAGAAGTAAAACTTTATTTTATGATGTACTGTAATGATATTCTTGCTGTTAAGACTATCAGATAGATATCTCTCATTACAAAGTATGCTGTAAGCAGGAAGGGGGGCTGCCTCTTGAAGGCTGTGCGTACCAGGCAATGGATTCTCCAATGTATCCGCTAATGTACCCCAATTTCCTGTTTTGCAGGATACAAGCTAATGCCCTTTCTCTCTTCTAATATGCTCGCCTGGAAGAAATTACTTATGGTGCTCAAGTTTTGAGGTATGGAGGGCTGAGGGTCTCAGGCTTTACTCCTCAATAGCAGCACCCACACTATGGGACAGCCTCCTACAGGAAATCGGACTGGCCCCCATTTCTGTGACCTTCTACAAGCTTTTAAAAACTGAATTGTTCCAGACAGCCTATGGAGGATGAAATTGGCTTATATTGTTGCTACTGTTGTTGCTTTTCTTTTCTTTTACAATTTTAAAATTTATATTATGGATATTTATTTTACTGACGACATTGTGGCTATTGTTAATCACTGAGACTCTATGATTAGTGGTGGATATAAATCCAACAAACATTAGAGTCAAATTCTCAGAGCTTGCAAAAATGTAGTTTGCCATTTTATCCCTACTGATGAAGTAAAAGGTGAATTCACTTCTGTTGTAGCCTAGGGAGATTGTGTCCCAACCTCTATCCTGGAGATGACTGCCAGAGGTTTGCTGCTGGTGGTGTCATCTAGCACCTCATTCAACACTGGGGGGTGGGGGAGAAGGGCTTTTGGGGGCCATTGATCCTGTTGCCTCCTCTTCCTCCCTTCTTTGTCCGCTCTGGCAATGATAGTTTCTAGAATCATCTTCATGTGAACTCCCAAAATGGAGAGAATGGAAAGTCTCTACTTTTTCTATAAGGCAGAATGAAGAGAGAAAGTTTTCTTCCACAGGTTAGGAAACTCTGTCTTCTAGCTGGAAGAGGTGGAGTTAACCCTTTATTGCCAATTCTACCTCCAGTGACAGAAAAGGCTTCTATTAAGCCAAATGAAGACTACCACTATTCAGAAGCTGCACCCTGCAGGACCACTCTCCCCAAAATTAACTTCCATGAAGGAAGAGAAATACAAAGAGCACACAACAACAAAAACAAAGAATTCAGACTGTGTCAATTTACACACATTAGTAAATGCCAATTAATATTTTATCTTTTGCAATATAATAAAATGTTCAGAACCAGAAGGGGAATAATGGCATTAGGCTTTTGCTGCCTCTCTTCACATATTTCAGAAAGTAAAGGCTAATGAAAGAGAGCAGAAAGCAAGGTAAAGCTCAAATACTTTCTGTACCCAGCTTGTTATGATGCATTTTTCTCCACAAAAGAGTTCAGGTACCTACATGCTTCAGGAACCTAGATTAAAATAGTGGAATTGTATTTATCAGAAAGACCCAAGAAAGCAACAAAGTACACGTAGCATTGCAAAGTAAAGTCCTTGTGATATTACTGAGTCATTATAAAAGTAGTGACTTTGAATGCAAGCATTTTTTAAAAAATGAGGCCTCCATTCACAATGTGCAGAATTAGAAAAAATATATGAATTGAAGGATCAGAGCAGATAACAAAAAATTAGAAAACAAGCAGCTTTCAGAAGCAGCCAGAGTTTAACCTTTGCAAATTCCCAATGAGCTTTTTTTTAGATATGTGGAAAAGAGAAATTATTTCTGTAGCTATCTTCAAGGACTTAAGGGTTGAAACCCTTATGATGCTATCACCATTTTTAATATCAAACATTAAGCCAGAGATGAAAAGAAAAGATGTTAAGGCTTCATGAATACTATATATTGAACAGCCTTCTTCTTGGGACAGTCACTTTTTCTCACTCCTAGGAAGGAGGCCATGGCAAACCACTTCTGAAAAACCTTGCCAAGAAAACTGCAGGGACTTGTCCAGGCAATCTCCTGAAATTGGGCACAATTTAATGGATTAAAAAAAAAAAATTCACCTGAACTGTTTTTATTATGACTCCAAACATCATCCACCCCTTTTGCTGCCCTTCTTTAATATAACATGAGCCTGATGAAAAGTTCAACAAAACTTGCTATTTTTTTCATATATACATTGGTCATAATAAAAACTTATTTGTTTTGATATTTTCATGCCACCTTTCAACAGAGCAAGGTCTACTCAGAACATTTGAACAGCAGCATAAAATAAAGCAACTGCAGATTATCAACCACAAAAATATGAAACAAGTAATGACAGATTAAAAATCCAGCCCAGTGTAATTAATTAAAAACTCTTATGAACAAAGAGACCCGTAAGGTCTGGTTAGAAACAGGCAGATTTGAATGAAGTCAAGGAAACATATATGAGTGAGGCTTGAACTCAGTGTCCAAGTTCCCAGTTGGCACTCAGCCAACTATGCCACAATCATTTTCTACGTCTAATACCTTTCTGAACATAAGAAAAGTACTACAATTAGGTTCTCCTGGAACTGCAATAAGGGTGAAAAGTGACCTTCAGCCAGCTGATACCAGCGTACGTTAGTACCAAAGAATTTGAAAGGCGGTTCCAAAGAGCACATATTTTGCACTTACCTTGAACATTCTGAGAATATCATGGCCTATTAAAAATTTATTGCCTTGTTACAAAGAAAGAAAAGAGCTCAACCAATCCCCTTCTTACTCACTACTGGGAACATTCTGAACCAGCATTCATTGTGTACTACAGTTTAACCAAACAGGCTCCTGATCAGTCTGTCATTAAAATTAAATGCTTCTTTTTACTTTGGATTGTGTAAAATATTAACTCTTAGGCAATTCAACTAAACACAGATTTCAGTTACCACAATGTTCGATGGCATGCCCATAAAACTATTATCATAAAGACACATATCAAGTTAATATTGGACACAGGGGTATGGTGGTTTTTTTAAAACTTATCTTTAGTAAAGAGTTATGTAAAATGGGAGGGCAGGAAAATGGGAGGGCAGGAAAGAACAAAGGGGATTCCAACTGGCAATTCGAATTAGTTCTGGAACTAAGTATAGTATGAATGAAAATTTAGCAAACAATCTTAAATTGTGGGAGTTTGCAATCTTTTGGGATCGAGGGGCACAATTGAAGTTTTATGAGCATATTGTGGTCCCACTTGAAAATGACTACAGTTGGGAGTGCTCACTAATTAACAAAATGGCTACATTACGGGCATGTGTTTTCAAAAAATATTTATTTTCCAGAAAGCGGACTGGTGAGATTATTTTCTGCCATCTCCTCTAGTTCCTACCTTACTCCTGTCTTTTTGCTGTGTCTCTTCCACTACAGCTTATCTTTGCCTTTTTCTGGGAGCTATTTCCAAACAAAGCCCTGGGTTGCAGCCTTCCCATTTCTTTTTCCTAAGAATTGCTGCAAAACCTATATAAGGCAAAGAAGAATTCTGAGAAGTAAGTATGAACTATAAGCAAGCAATTTTTCATTTACTGGTTTTTAAAAATATGAAATTAAAATCAGATTCTATAGGAAGCCTGGCAGGCACAAGAGGAAAGATGTTGGACATATTGATGACCACAGGCACCACACATTTGATATTCCAGTTGTAGCCTACTATGGTTTACATTAGTTGTAAGTTTGTGAGTCACAGAAGTGACTCATCATTAGCTTACCTGATTCTTTTAATTATCAAATCAAATAAAAATTTATTACAGCCCTTTGGTCAGAGAACACTACAGTAAAAATACATAAACATTTAATTATTAATACTAAAAAGTAGACATAAAATACAATAATAATACATTAAAATAAATTAATATAGTAACAATAATACAGATAATAGCGGCAATTACTAAAATTTGTACTAATCTTCAGTTGTAGGTAGATGGTGGCACAAAATTGGGCAACTTGGAAAGATATGTCAGGGTTCTGGTCAGATAGAAGAAGTGACAGCTACGCACTGTACTCTCTACCAGGGTAGTTCTTTAAAATGGGATAGATATACAGTATGTCTTCTGAGATTCTGTGTAAAGAGAGCAACAAAGGGGCATGTGGTTTAGGGATTCCACAGAGCCATCCCCACCTTGGCATACATGTTCCTGAAGAGGAAAGTTTTTATACCGCCCCACAGGATTGTGGAGGGTAGTGCATCCTACCTGACCAAGGTGAAGGCCTGAAGAAATTTCAGAATTAGAATTGAGGAAACATAACATGCCCATTTAAGAAAAATCCATGAACTGTAGGGTTGGATACAAAGCTCAGACTGGTTTGAAAATCAGTATCAGTTGTATCACTGAGTTAGTGGTCTGTCCCTACTGTTGAGGGTTCTATTATTATTATTATTATTATTATTATTATTATTATTATTATTATTATTATTATTTTA